ATCTAACCGTCTAAGTAACAGAAAAACTGTTAGCCATGGATGGATGGATAGAACAAACTATCCATCTAAGAAGACGTTGGCAGTGTTTGGTGAACCAGACAAACTTTTAGTTTTAGATTTGTGTTGAGTCTTGACCTCAACAAAAGACGGCGATAAACATCAAAACAGGGAGAGAGAATTTCTGCAGACTGAACTGTCTTCGGAGCCTCCTGTTTCTATCCTCCCAAACATTTGGTTCAGACCTCCAGGTGTCATGTGAGAGCTTCACATCGTTACCCTAAACTTTGGACTTTTTTCTGTGAGGTTTCTTTGTACTAGTACTCCCTGATTGTGCTCCCCTGCTGAGCTGCAATGGATGTGCTAAAATAGCCTAAAGATACAGAAACCTTGGAACATTCCCACCTCAACTGCCTGAACTGCTAACGGCTTAACATGTCTTCCTAGTTTTAATGTACAATGAGGACTGACAATTTTTGAAATTCACAAAAATGTAACCAACGCCTCAATCTGTGTAACAGGAAGTTGTAAACCAGTATGACAAGATGCTGTACTAGAATCTGTCAGCTTACTCTCAGCCTTCATGCATCTGTTCAGCAACGTGTGACCAGAATCTGCATTAACAAATACGAGGAAAGAAGGAAACTGGTGCAAGTTTAGCTAACATAAGCCGGATTCTGTAAACTCGACCAACATCGTCTTTGCGTGATTATATCACCACATGTAGTTGCACACAGCAGTGTTTAAAACCGTGTTTGATTACTGACGACTGTGACTGTGAAGTTGGGACTCTGTGTAAAACATAAATAAAAGCAATGCTTTGAAAAATCTCATAAACCCATATTCTATTCACAATAAAACATATATGCTTATACTCAGACATTTCACTATTACATTAAATATATTAGTTCATTTTGACTTTAATGGCAGCACCATGTTGCAAAAAAGTTGGAAAAGAGGCTGGAAAAGTAAAGTGGTACCAAAAACGAACAGCTGAAAGAACATCGTGAACTAACTAAAGAGTTACGTCCAGCTCGTCATCAGCACTCAGTTCAAAAGCCTGAAACTCTGACGGTATGGTGGTTGCACATGTGGAAAGGCACCACCAGTGCTGAACGGTACATACAGGTTGTGCCCGTGCAGACAGCATCTGTCACAGGAGAGGCTTTGCACATTTCAACAAGACAATGCTAAATCATATACTGGAGCTAATCCAACAGCACAGCTTCATGGCTCGCTGCAGTCCAGACCTTTCACAAACAGAAACACCATTAAGTGAAATTTATGACAAATAAGACCACGGACAGCTGAGCAGCTGGATTCCTCTCAGATAACAGTGGAATATTATTCCCCTCCCAAAAGTCCAGCAAATCGTTGCATTCATTTATTAACTTTTTACAGCGTTCCAACTTTTAAGGAAGTGGGTTAGTATTTCCTCTGTTTATCGGACGAGTCGGGAACAATGTGGTCCCACCTTTATGCTTTACAATCCCTCAGAAACAAGTAAAAACCTGCTTTATTTGGACAATATAAGCAAACCCATCTCCTCTTATTCCAGCTATTCCAAAACTGATTGGTGTCGCAGCAAAAAGTGTGCACAGCTCACCATCTTGACATGATGATACTGAGCACAAATCTCACAGCTTATCCACCCTAATCTGTCTCTTTCCTCTGAACATCAGTCCTCCTCTTCTCTCTCACTCTTATATCAATGCAAGGGGTTAAAACGCTACAGCAGCACCGAGGATCACTGAAATAAAATAAATCAAAGCACAAACTCCAGCGTCTGTGAGCCTTTTAGACAAAGAAGAACTGACTCTTTCTCCTTTCCTATGAACTACTCATTTCACAGTCTGATACAAAGATCTATAAAGCCCTTTTGCAAAATACAATACAAGCACTACGAACATGTTTTCTTGCATTTCAGCAATGCATCTGTTAATTCAAATGTACATTATTTGATACTGATTTTGTGTTGAAACACAGCTGCATGCAAATATTGCAGGGAGGCCTTTCCAAGCAGAACAGATACTAGGACAGTCCTCAGGGTAAATTCTTCTAAGATGATTCCTGCAGTTACAATGAATTCATTGCACCATGAATTTGCTCTATTCATACAAAAACAGACAAACTCGACTTTGATTTAAAAGGGTTTCTCTCCCGCTGCACCATCGATGCACCAAAATAAAAGTAATTTTTTTTATTACCATGTTTTATCTTTTAAAGTTACAGAGAAGAAGGTTTAAAAATGTATTCGTAGTCACATGTGTATTTATACACACCTGTTTAAAAGGTGTATTTACCCATGTCCCTCACTGGTTAGAGAAAATCCTGTTGTGAAACGTCAGTATGAGGATTTTGGCGTTTTGTATCCTGGCAATCTAGGGCAGACCAAGATGCACTGCATGCTAATACCTCTCAATCCCATAATAAATCACGACCAGGCCAAAAGTCAGCATTTATAAAATGGGAGGAAATAGCTAAAAAATAGCTAAAACACTACACCTAACTTATAGCTTATTTATATCAATCAAAAAGTGCAGATTCTTAAAAACTATTGGAATTAGATCCACTTTTAATGTACAGTCCTCTATTTCCAGGGGCTGAAATATAATTGCGCAAAGCACTCGAAAGCTGTCTCATGGACAGGTTCTGCGTTCCTCCTTTTATTATGTCTTCATAGATTAAGTGGAGAAAAGGGCTGAGGATGATTCCAAGTGTGTCATTTGCCATTTGTAAGCTGTTTCTGTGAACCCGGGTGTTGTTAAAGGAGCTCTCTGTGCCAGTGAAACAGGCCATCCTCAGGCTACGAACAAAAAACAAATGCATTAGAGCGATCGCAGCAACATTAAGAGACGTCAAATTTAAAGCTTGATGAGACAAGAAAAAGAAGAACGTGCCGAGGAGCGATGCAACATAAAACAGACCTAGAGCGGTGGATGATCGCAGGATCCTTTCCATGGTAGATAACAAAAGCATTTCTACATGAGGCCTGCCATCCAAGAAAGACTTTACAGGGAACAATCTGATATCCAACATATTAGTGCATAATCTGCAAACCAGTGATCACTCTCGAAATTAGAAACCAGAATATATTTTGCCAAAATAAATTAAAAAGCTCTGGCACTGTTACTTAGAGAAATCAAAGTAAGACGGGAAGATCAATCTATTGCATGGACATGCATGGCTTCCAGCTTCCAGTGAGTCAGTGGACTGACCAAAAACATACTGTAAAAGCAACACAGGAGTCTTTGATGGAAAACAAGTGGTCTGATCTGAAATCAACTGAACTACAGTTCACCTATTTAAGGTAAAACTAAAGGCATAAACAACTGATGACAGCTGCAGTAAAAGCCTTTCCCTACAACAAGGAGCTTTGTTAAAAAGTAAGGACAGTAGAAGAAGACAGCACCTGATGGTTTTGATCATGCTGAGGCCCATTTCCACGCAGCAGTGGGCGTGGTCCGGCCTAGGCTCCGGCAGACCAGACACACAGTAGTAACAGTCTCCAAGGATCTTTATTCGTAGACAGTGATGCTCCTGCAACAGACAAACACCATAACCATAAAGGCAGAAAACCTAAGCAATGACTATACCTGAAATAAGAATTAGAGATCAGTAGAAATTAGAAAAAAAAGGAAAACACAGAAAACATATCAGGTTATCTCTGAATTCCTTCTCTGACTGTGAAATTGCGACCGGCCAAGCGTGACAGTCTGAAATGTTCTGCAATCTAATATCAGCTGAGTCGTACACAGTGGATGTTGAATCAGATATTCACTGTGTTGTTTTGAATAAATATTTATTCTACTGGAGCGTCTTTATTCAGTTTTCATGAGTCCCGACAGCCATGAGAGGCTGTCGCAGAAGAGATGAGCTCTGGGCTCCACAATCATACACGCACAATCAAACAATGTGGAAAAAGAAGAGCTGCAAAGTCTATTCTTATGCTTCATTTTCAGTAATTATTTTTATACAACTGGGAAAATAGTTTTTAGTGATAGCCTGCCACACAGAAGCAAAAATTAAAGAGTTTATGTTACCATTTATGGTGTATGTGCATGTATTTTTAACCAGCATCTTGAATGGTACACTCTATTGCCAGAAGGTGGCAGTAAAGGAGCTGAGAAGCTATCCTTGCAATTCCTTACCAGCTAGCTAGCAAGATGCAAGTCTGCCACAACAATGCAGCTTAATGCAGCTGCATTTATAGAACTCTTTAGCATTTAGCAAGGTTAATATAATACAATAACAAAGAGAGAACCCCAACGATCACATGATCCCCACGAGCGACACCTGGCGACGCTGTGGAAAAACACCTCCCTCATCCACAGGGACATCCTCAGAGTTTGCTTTCACTTAACCATAAAGCAAGGGTTCACAAACTATATATTGGGAAAAGTGTTTCAGTCTAAATATTGATTGAACATTATAGGATCTATGAGATTATCAGTTTAAACTGGTTGCCTTTAAAGCTGACTTTCACTAAACAGTTCTATCTAACACAGTTTACCAAATATTTGAACAAAATTTGAGTCCCATCGTATAAAAAGTCTCCACATAATCATTAATAAGTCATAAGATCAGGTGATGTAGTGTTTGACAGATGCGGCCCGTGGCTGAGGTGAGGCATCCAGACTCACCCTGAGTCAACGCTATGAGTCAACACACAACATTGCAAATGTTGGCCAAGCTGGCGTTGCTGTTTGGGCCATTTTCAGAGGAGGTTCATAAGATAAGTGAAAGTAAATCAAAAGTTAACCACAGACAGGTAATCAGCTGTTAGGTAAAGGTTATTAACCTGATCCAGAACACACTGATCCTGGATCTGCTAAGAGGTATCTCTAAAGAAATGTGATTTATTAATCCTTTAATGCACAAATGAGCGAATATTTTTAATGGGAAAATAAATTGATTCAAATCTCAAGACTAAAATCAGATTATATGCACATATGCATTTGGGATGAGAAGCTCTTACATGTGCGAGGCGGTCGAAGCGTGCAAAGAGTTCATTCAACATTCGCACCAGCTCCTGCGCTGACAGCGTCGTGGAGAGGTTTGTGAAGCCTTTAACATCTGCGAAAAGAATGCTGAATAAAATACGGAAATGTCACTTTAATATCCAGCTCACTTCTTAAAAGTTATGATACTTAATGAGGATGACATTTTCTGTGATGTCAGATTTTGCACATTTTACGTAAATGTCACAGTTTTGTTCTTAAGAGCAAAAACTCTCAAATGTCTTTAATCGGGGCACACACAGCTGTTTTGCTGTTGGACCCTCACCTGACATTCTCGTAGCGGTGGATGTAGATTCTGTGAAACTGATGCTGGAGGTGTTCGTCCTCTACATTTGTCATGTCGTTGATCATTTCCAAAACTACAAAACGAGGCAGGACTGATAACACCAGTCGTTCCTGTTGGGGAGAAAAACGAATCATCTCATCGCTTTGAAATGACAAAAAGACACAATACAGAACAATAACATAACATCTGCATATACCGACAACTCACAATGTGTTTAAAAACATTGACTATTGAACCATTTTTGTGATTGGCACTTCCATTCGTTAATTTGTCCACAGGGAGCAGACTAAGCAGAGGTGTTCAGATCTTCCTCTCCCCCCTGATGCCTCCCCCAGGTCTTTCAGGAGGACTCTGATGCTTTCCTAAGACAGACGAGACACTTCGTCTGTCAGCTGTCATGCCTCGGGTCTGCCTGGGGTCTCCTCCCAGTAGGAGCTACTCAGAGCCTCCTGAATGATCAAGCTCCTCACCCTGTGTCTACAGCTGACCCCAGTCACCTCTCAGGAGAAGCTCACCAACACTGCTATCTGCGCTCTTATTTCTTCTGTCACCACCCACAGCTCGTGACCAAAGGTGAGGCCAGCATTGTTCACAGGCCGGTACATCAACAGCTTCAGCTTCACAGTCAGCTGCTTGAATAACAACAAATATCTGAATTCTACTTGAAGCCTTCAAATCCAGAGTGGACGGTCTTTTCTGAGCGAACCGGGTCCTCGGATTTAAAGGCGCTAATTCTCATTCCAGCCACTTCACACTCTGCTGTAAACAACCCTCGTAAAAGCACGAGGCCATCACCCCATGAACCACAACTTTGAGTTTTATTAGCTCAAACCTAACAGTCCAACAGACTCCTGCAGCAGTTTATAGGCAAAGGTTTGTCCTGGGATCTCCCCAACCTTACACGGCAACATATGGAAAACAGGAAGTGCTGAGCCATCAGCTGATGTCAGCTTGCACTGAGATGAACGCTGATCAGTGTGAGTTCTTCTAGTACAGCAGCATCTACGTCCAGAAACACAGGAAGGAAGGTAAACTCTTCACATCATTACTTTAGATTGTTTCACTTTTAAACTAAATGCTTTGAACTACAGCTAAAAAGTGGAAACAGCCTTTTTTTATGGATAAATTCAAAAACTATGTTTGATGTATGTAAATGTTTCAATAATAAACGAGAGAACATCAACAGTAAATTATCGAAGGAACAGAAATAAAGCCTTTAAAAAGAAATTACACGAGGGGCTGTGTGTGTGAGAAATGAATTAAAAAAGATGGCTTGAGCTCTGCCAGCCTAAGCTCCTCGAGCAGGATCCTCCAAAGCCTCCGCGCTCGCAGGAACATCACAAGCAAACGAGTTTGTGTTGTGATTTTTGTACTGACACGGTGCCACTTGGCTAAAGCAGAAACAGATTTGGAGTGGGAGCGATGCAGCATCCCTCAGGATTCTTTTGGCCTCGGGGAGCCGCACCAGAGCCAAGCAACTGCTTCTTTCAGATACTGAATACATTAGAACCAACCAGAACGTCACGTACAGTGACATCAGTACACGGCACGCACATGCTCAAAAGCCCTGCAGGTTTTTTGGAATATTTTACGCCAAAGGGATGACAGAGGGACAAGTCTAATAGCTGGAAAGGCTCCGAACGAACCAGCTGGCCCTGTTCTACATCTTAAAGACTCACTGTTTAAAAACACGAGAGGAAATCTGCACGAGGCGGGAGATTAGTTTTGCTCCCAATCTGATAAACAAGTTGAAAGAAATTTTGCACAGACTTTTGACATTGGAGCCTTTTATTCTCTCTGGTGTGTCTTCTGGTGAGATTTTCACTGGAATGAATTTGTGATAGAGACTAAAGTGATATTCCATTTGAAGAGCCGTAAATCTTGAAGACAACATGATGGTTGCACGTGGGCACATCATGTTCTTTCATTACCATGAATGCACACCGCGCTTCACTATGACTCAGCCCCACATACAGCACTCTGCTGTTGGAATTACTCACCAAAGAGCTCCAAATATGGATTAATCCGCAACTGCAAACAGTTCCCAAAAACTGTACGACTCGAAACACGGGCTGAGGGAAAATATATTTATATTTGATTAGATACATTCAAATACGCCAGGATACTACGAATAACGGGGCTGCAAGGTCGCATGATAGGAGGCGACCTTTCTCTAAGTGGCTGCAGTCACGCTTGGAAAGATTGTAAAAGGTTTGCAAATAATTGGTGTTTAATTTATAAATGAGCACAAATGTTTCCATCAGTCTGAATGATTCAGTCCATGAGCTCAACACGAGGGGACTCAACTGGCTGCCAGCTGGTTGTATTCTGGTTTATATTCCTATAGAACAGGAAGGCTGTCAAGTGCAAATGTAATAGTTAAATGTCAAATTCTGTTAAATTTCTATTTCTGTCTATTTAGACGGAAGCAGATATGTGATTTTCAATGATTTATCACTGTATTTGCTGTATTATCAGAAACAGATTGCGTATAATTGCTGGCTTGACCACATTCAATCACAGACTGATAACAGACAGACTCCGTTTTATGGCAACATTTGTTGGTTTTAGTGACAATGTTGCCATTCTTGATAATCTCATTTGGCACCAAAAAGAAAACACTGAAGTGAGGTAACTTTATCTTATTGGATAAAACAGGTTTTGATACATTTTAACTTTGAGGATGTAATTTGCAGTAAAAAGAAAAAAAAAAGGTGATAAATTGCAATATATTTTAGTCCAAATACTCAGCATATTGCAAAATGTAACAAATGACACTAATATTGACAGAGTCAAGTATTGTTTTAATATCGTATCGTGAGGTGTCTGGTGATTCCCACCTCGACGTTACACTAGATCGTCTATAATTCTCTGAGAACATTTGCTGTCATCAGCTTGCACGGTTCCTCTGCAGTCACAACTGTAAGACAGCACACTTGTTTTTCTTCCCTGCTTGGCTCACAGATGAGTTTTCCAGTAAGAAATAAAAATGCAACCTCATGTGCACTCAGTGAAGCTGCATGATGCTGTCTGAGAGCCCTGGAGAGCCTCTTCAGACCCCGAGCACAAGTGCAAAGAAAGGCTGGCTGAGGCTGGATAATAGCAATGAGACGCACAGAGAGAGGGAGATAGCGACACCGTCCTCTGCTGCGATCACAGCAATGACAACAGTTCCATCGTTGCTGTAGAAAGAGATTTAAATAATGAAGCAGCGGTTATACAAAGATTGTCATCTAATACGTAAAAACAAGCATCAGAGCAAATTCTAACATAAAAATCACCACAATCAGAATAAAGAAAACCATCAAAATATCATGAACTCTAATCATTTTGAACCTTAACATACGATAAAAAAAGTTGGTCCAGAGGAGGGAAAATGCCAGTCCACATCAGCTGTTAGCTTAGCTGATACACATCCAAACAGTACATCTCTATGGAAAATAATGTACATGTTATCCTAGCAGTCCCCACGTTTGTGCATCTGCAAGCCACTTTGAAACCCACATCCATCCAAGCTCCCAGCTAATCACTGTTTCATCTGTTGTCATGGAAACCTGTTCACATCTAATCAGGTGGTCTTCCTGTTGCATTGATTTAATACCTTAATCAAAAAAATTACTCTTCAACAATTCTTTATTTCTTTTCATCTTTTTTATGACACTTTACAACTGTCGTCTTCATGATAACAAACTTTTAAAACTGGGGTATCGTACTCGTCTTAGCTCATAAGTGGGCTGGACCAGTGAAACCAGTGCATAACGGTGCACAGAACACACCTCATACTTTACATTGTAGCCTCCCAGCATACAGTGAGTAACCAGTGAGCTATACCAGCACCCCGAACAATACTTTTTATTTACATAACTAATCACCCTGACACAGTTCAGAGGGGAAAGTCCTGAGTGGACCCAACAGCAAAGCACTGACAGTTGTTAATGTTATGTAGTATTTTTTGCAAGCTTATGGCTGCAGTGGCAGAAAAAAACAAGCTAACTAAACCAAACCTAAAAAACAACCAGAGCAGCTGAAGTATCCAGAGGTAAACACTCACACATGACAGGAAGAGATACGATGCAAAAATAAAAAGGGATCATAACAAAGACAGAACCCCTCATCTTTAGCAAAGAATAATAACATATTGATAATTCATGCATCCAGCTACATGATCACTCAAAATCTCAGCTATATTGTTGTTTATGTTTCAGTCACTGGGATCCTGCAGCTTGTGATGGAGAGCAGAAGCTGATTGGACAGCTCATCTCTCTGACACACCACTGTGGACGTGACCATCAGCTGAGTGTGAAATGTGTAAGAGGAGAGCAGGTGCTTGTGTTGTTGAGCACGCACCGCCCCCTGCTCTCGGCACGCCTCTGTTGTGCTGTTGTTTTTGTTGTGTTGGTGTCTGTGCTGGAAAGCAGAGCAGTGCATCCACAAATTGAGGTCTAGACAGACAAACATTTCAGTGAAGCGTTGCTAATTCTTCGGCTGCTGCGTCGCAACCAAACGCCCCGGGCTTTGGTGATGGAGTCTCACTGCAAGAAATGTGGATTTTACAGAGTCGTCCTGAATTCAGACTGAACCTTTGAACCCTGCAATGTGTCTGTGCTGCTCAATCACACGTCAGCCAAACTCCTGCTGCAATCACACAAGGAGCTCCATTTGAGCAAATAGTACCGCTTCCTGTCGCAGTACTCTGGGATAAAATATTACAATATAAATTCTATTAACTACATTATGTTTTGGAAACTCTATCAGCAGCTCTTCTCCCTCTCTTAACTCCTTTTGCCATCTTCGTACATAAGACAGTAATCTTAGTTCCCATGTTAAACATAAACAAAAGAAATCTGCTGAAATTTTCAACTTAAGTGGAATTTCCAAAGACAGCATACGTATGTTGAATTTAGGTATTTTAGCATCACTAATTAACCTAACCTTGGACTGTGGGAGGAGGCGGGAGGTACCTGGGGGAGACCCACACAGGCACAGTGACAACCTGCAAACTCCACAAAGGCCGCTCATTTACAGTATTTGTACCCGGTTAATAAAGGTAAAGTAAATTTACAGGAGACAGACTTTGACATATATTCATCAAAGTACTCTGTGGCAAATAACTGAGCAATATAATCAGCCACCTCTCCTGTTAATCCTTATCCTGCAGATAATCTCGCAGCTGGTGTGAGATTATCTGGAGGATAAGTAGGAAAAAAATAAGGAAGGCTATCTGATTAGCAGTGACTGGTCTTTCCAAATAAGAGCAAGGGGGTTTTGAAATAGTAAATGAATTGAGAATGCCGCAGTCATCTCAGACAATAACAAAATGTTAGAAATGCTAAAATCTTGTGTGTGGACAGGGGGCTGCAGAGTGTTTGCTCCACTGGACAGGGACCCTGGTTTGGACAGCTGAGAGCCAGCGGACTCAATGTCAGATCAGCTTTGAAAGTCATTAGTGAAGCTTGATTTTAGCTGGAAGCTGAAGCCCTCCAGCAGCTCACTGACAACGGGGAGAGAGATATTACTTCTTGTCAGGAACAGAAAAATATTTTTTAGACAGCCAAATGTTAAGCTTTCATTTTTGAGGATCTGATGTTGTCTAGTGTTTGCTAAACTAAAACTCTAGCAGTGCACCAGTCAGCAAACACCATCTGCGTGTCTTAAACATTTGTGAACCCTAATGCAAGACTCAGGAAACAAGAATGAACATTAAGCATTCTCAATGCTTAAAGAATAATGATTCTTTAAGTCCAGAAAATCACAAAGTCCAGAAAGTGTTTACAAAGCGCTAAGGCACAGACGCTACAACGCTGACGTAACAAATGACAAGGGAAGCGACAGGAAACAATAACAGAACCCTAATCCAAAGGTAACCTAAAATTCAAAACGAATCCTTCTAAACTCAAAACCTTATGCGGCGTTCACTGTTTACTGATCAACAACAGGAAGTTTGTGAGTTATCTAAAAATATAGATATTGGTTTTCTGCTTGCAGCAGTATGATCCAATCTTCAGTTCAGTTCGATTCAGGTTTATTTATATAGCACCAAATCACAACAGCAGTCGCCTCAAAGAGCGCTATAATGAAGACCCTACAGTATTCTGGAGAGATGCTGTAACCAGAAATGTGCCACTATGTTCCTGGAACACATTAACAGAAAT